CAGGGCGGCTGGGGGCAGATGTGGGCCAAGGACGGGCCCGGGGCTCCGGAGTGGGGGGAGGTGACGCTGGCTTTGGAAAACGCCTGCTCCTCCGAAGAGCCCTCTAAGCAGCCGCGAGGGAGGGGCAGGTGGGGCGAGGCCTCGGTGGGTCAGACGCGGGTACACGGCTCCGTTCTGGGGTCGGGGGTCTCGCTCAAGCGGCAAGCGCAAGACGCCGGTGGCCCTGGAGCAGACACCGTGTCGCTGTGAATCCCTCCGGAGGGAGGGGCGCGCCTCCCCTACGTCTGCTCCGCGGGAGGGCAGGTTCCCAGCCCCCTTGCAGTGAGGGAGGAAGAGAGACGCCTGCGGAGCGAGGGCACTGGGGAGAATCCGTTCTGGGGTCGGGGGTCTCGCTCAAGCGGCAAGCGCAAGACGCCGGTGGCCCTGGAGCAGACACCGTGTCGCTGTGAATCCCTCCGGAGGGAGGGGCGCGCCTCCCCTACGTCTGCTCCGCGGGAGGGCAGGTTCCCAGCCCCCTTGCAGTGAGGGAGGAAGAGAGACGCCTGCGGAGCGAGGGCACTGGGGAGAAGGGCACTCCGTGGCCCTGGGAGTCTGCACGTTCCTGTGGAGCCAGCCCACGTGGGACGGGGGCTCCCGAGGGTAGAGCAGGCTGGGAAGTCCTGCCGTGCAGTCGATGGGCCCGTGGAGAAGAGGCCAGTGCCTGGCGACCGTGGGCAAGTGGGGGAAGCGGAGGCGGCAGCGGATGAAACCGAGGGGATGGCTGGGGGGGAATTAAGTGATAATTCCTGAGTCCATCATGGGAAGCTGCAGAAATCCAGGGCCTGGTGGCCGGGGCTGACGGTGAGACGTCCCTGAGCTGTTCAGTCCCGGAGTCGGTGACGTGGGCGCGGGTGGAGGCTCAGCCGGTGGGAACAGGCGTAGTGTCCCCCGGTGCAGGGGGGCCAGGCCAGGCTGCAGGGTGCTCGTCCCCCCAGTTTGCTCACTGGTGTGGGGCAGGGAATTGCCGTCAGCTTCCTACGGCACCAGCTGCTTCCTGCACCAGGGGTTCTGGGTCTTGGGCAGCCCTGGTGAGAGCAGGAAGGGAAGGTGACTGCAGGGGAAGTGGGGCTGCCCCTCTCCACCTTTCCAGCTGACACAAGCGGGGCAGGCCTGGCTGGAGGCCGTTGTAGGTGCTGAAGGGTCACTGACGGGCCGCGGGGGGAGCTTGGCTGTGAGGAGTCTTGCTCGGGTTCTGGGCTTAGAGGCTGTCCCCAAGAGCTCCCCTTTGCCTGGCTGGGTCCCTCCCCTGCTCTCTTGCTGCCGGACGCCGGCTCGGCTCTGCCAGTCTGTGGGAGCTCGCTTCCTGGGCTCGTGCTGCTCTGGGCACGCTGGGAGCTGTTGGCGTGTTTCCTGGCCCGGCTCGCTCCTCCCCGTGACTTGCTGTGGCTGCGGAAGAGCCGAGGGGTCAGTGTGGGGTCTGTTCCCTGGAACGTGAGGGACTGGAACTGCCGACGGGCCTCTGGGGACGCGAGGCTGCCCAGGGCTGGGGCCAGCCCACGTGCTCAGCCAGGAGGCAGGCTGCCCACGAAAGCCCAGTGTCCCTGCCGGGGGCTGTGCGCCTGGCCCGTAGCCTCGGCTTTGTCCACGAGTTGGGCTGCGCTGCTGCAGTCTCCATGCGGCGTGTTGCTCCGCCACCTGCTCCGGGGGCTGGAAGTAAGAGAGCGGAGAGCTCGGTCAGGCGGGGCGAGGGCCTGGCCTGCACCTCCGAGGCCACGTCCCCACGCCGGGGGCAGCGCCAGACAAGGGCCCGCATGTGGGGCAGAAGTGCTGCCGGGGTCTCTGCTCCCTGCTCCCCTCCACTCCACAGCAGCCTCCCTTCCAGAGCTTGCA